AAAACAGTATACAATATAAGAGACAATATACAAGGACAGTAACAACATACACAATGACATGAAGGATATGTGTGTTCATTCAAAGAAAGGTTTTCCTATGAATTAATTAGTAGAAAAGTCCATTTCTACTGTGCCTTATGCTTCTTGCTCTAAAAAGGTAGTGATTTTCTCTGTTTCGCATTCCTTCGGACAATAAACCCAGTGATATCAGCATTGGTTGCCATGGTGACCAGGGGCCTGGTGTCTTTCTGAGGTGTTAAGACGCATTTCGGGGGAAGGGTCTATAGGTCCTCATATGGCTTGTTAACTGAGGGGTGTTACAGAGTATTTGTTAAATATAGCTAACAAAATATATATTGTGTGTCTGATTGGTCCAGATGCTACAAGAGCACTGATTCCCTCTTTTCTTTATTAACATGACACGGAGAGCAGCAGGTGTACTATATTAATATCCAAATCACAGATCTAATGTTACACATCAAAATTTAACACAGTTGTTTGCATTCACTTAAGACATACCCATTTATGCGAATACTCGACAAGCCAGATATATTTTGAAGCAATTCAGTGTTGTATTTTAGGTAGCTTTCCATGCACGCAGGTGAGTCAGTCAACGAGAATAACACATTGAGATCTTTTTTTTGTGGCTTAGCCTATTGCATTTAAAAACTAGCTCTTCCCGCATTATTTTCTCATTTATGCATGTTATTTTTATAAAAACCAAAATGTGCGCAAATATATTGCTTTAAAGACGTTCATTATCTGGTAAGTAAGATTATCTGGAAACATCAGACGCAATTAAGTGCTTTGCTTCCAAAGTCATACGCAACTTTTGTTAATTAATATAGCATATATCAAGAGTACTTTATTTACAACAGTAAGTTAATATGTATGATTGGCCTATTTAGTAACATTTATGCAGAATCGCTTACATCAGCATCACAATGTGTCATAAAATAATTAGACCTATATTCCACATGCCTATTTCATATAGGCTATAGACTATTTAATTTTATTTTGGATATAGGCTATAATAATGATGCTGATGATGATAATACTAACACTATTACTAATAATAATAATAAAGAAAGGAAGAATATTAGGCTACATATTGGCCTGCATGGTATGTGCAGTATGGGTAATATAAGAATTCTTAATTCTTAAATTCAAAACAAAATAGGCCTATTAATATATTCATAATATCCATTTCTGAATATCCAAGGTTGCCATGGTCACGCAGGTTCGTGCATTAATGCTGCCTTCAAATGGTTGTCCCCTCCACCATGTTTAAAGTTTATGACCCGCCCAACTCAGAAACTCTTAGGAAACTTATATGATAATTCCGATAGCACGTGAAGGCAGCATAAACACATGGCCACGAGAAATAAATGTTGTTCTCTCAACATAAGAAGTCGTGCTCCCCCGAACATGTCCCCTACCTGCCATCTTTTTGATCATTTTGTCATGAAAAGATTTTTTCTTTTTTTTAAATAACACATTAGGCCTATATATAATGTTCTCTCAACATAAGAAGTCGTGCTCCCCCGAACATGTCCCCTACCTGCCATCTTTTTGATCATTTTGTCATGAAAAGATTTTTTATTTTTTTAAATAACACATTAGGCCTACATATAATTATCACAGAAACAAATCCACAGCTGAACCGCGGCAACAAGTAGTGGTGTTTTCGTAATCAGCGTAACCTATTTGAAGGAATCAGTTGAATGGATTGAACTCACTCGTTAAGACAGTGACTTGCCGCCACCTAGTGTCTGTTTTAGTTTCATATTAAATGTATAATTTAATTGATTGACATATTGACATATTTCTGCCTTCAAAATTTAAAACATTAATTTCATAACATTTTATGCATTTGTAGGCTAATTGCAGTGATGGCTCTGATGGCTTTTGTTGACACTGATTGGATTTTTACTAGTAACAGCCCTTTTTTATTTTAACTGAATTTATCGATTGGAATTAAGACAGTGGCATTCCATATTCATGATGCATACATTTAATACGTTTAAAAAAAAAATGCCCCTGGACAACAGTTTATGGGTTTGTTTCTGATGCCGTCAATGTTGTTTTTGGAAGTTACATAAAAAAAAAATGCAGTTAGCTCAAAAAGCTGAGGGCAGGACAGGCGCTGTTTGGATGAGCATGATGCTTGTATGTTCAGTGCATGGCGTGTGTGTTTCACTAGCTCCGTTCCCATGGACACCTTTTGTTTGACCTAATTCTGGATATTTCCAGCCTAAGAGGTGTGATTAATCCGTATCTAAAGCCGTGTCTACACCAAGAGAAGCCATTATAATCAGTTGATGCGGTGACTGTCCACACGGGAAGTGGCGCGAGGCGACAAATCTTCTACAGTAACTCATACCGCCTCCTATTCCGAATCTTGGAAACATGTGTTGTATGCGATGAAAGTGAAAGCTAAAAAAACAGCGCGCATAAGAAAGCGATTGCACGATTTTGTGAGCTTCAGCAAATGCACGCGATCACAGATTGCACGCTTCCCAGACGAAACAACCCCCCACGTGAAACTGAAATAATAACCCGTAATATAAGATTTTGGCCATATTGCCCAAGTCATTCATCCCACACTATCAACAGGCGCGTCATGTAGGCTACACTTCTTGTACGCCGTTTGGGCACCACAAGGTGTCACTGTGGCCTCAAAGCTTACACCTCGCCTACTCTGGCTCGATTGCTATTCCTGAGGTAAAGCACGTCCTCCTCATTACCCTACGGACAAAGAAATGTAGAAATAAATAAATATGAAAATAAAGAAATGTCGAAATAAAGAAATGTGGAAATAAAGAAATAAAGAAATAAATACATAAATAAATACATAAATGTGAAAATAAATAAAAGTGGAAATAAATAAATGTATAAAGAAAAAAAAGAAAAAATAAATAAATGTGGAAAAAATTTTTTAAAAAATACATAAGGAAATAAAATTATAAATAATTATTTATTTTTTTTTTTTTACTTTTCTTTGTATATTTCTTTATTTATTTTTGCTTTTTTTTTTACTTATCTTTGTACATTTATTTATTTATTTCTAATTATGGCAGGATTGGCATTCCATAGAAATCAGTGAGTGTTTAAAGTGTGGATGTACTAAGGATCTTCTAAACCTCCAAACTTCCCCTGGCTCTGAATGGGAACCACATGCTGCTGCATAGTATGGTTGTTACCTACTCACTCTATGGACTGCCCTGGGGCATAAGTTAACCTTCCCTCTCCTTAGTCCAGCGCCACAGATACATATTCCAAACCCATGTGGTTAACAAGTTAGCAATTAGCCCTGCACTAACAGAGCTACAATTTGCTCTTGCCATCACCCACAATGACAATCATGCCAGATTGGTGTGCAGAAAGAAAATATGTTAGGAGGGAATCCTTTCACCCTTAAAAACAGGTAGGGAGGGGGGTTTACAAAGGGAACTGCCAGCTGAAATTGCAGCCTCCTCACCACATGGCAAACTCACTTTCCCCATAATGTGGAGAGAGCTCCAGGGAAATATTACTGCCTGCATGAAGACGTTAAGAGAAGTTTACAGGCAGACCATACACATTCCTGCAGGCTTAGGCAACACCGCTTTAAAAGTAATACTGAAGGTTTGAGAATGTGTGTGTGAAGGAGTGATATTTTCACCCTTTTAAGAGCTCTACCATTAAAAGTCCTGAAAACATGGCAGGTGCGGGTCAACACATCCCAGGCAAGTGAGAGTTAGCTCCACCATTAAATAATCACCTAAAAGGTTCACTCTAAAATTAGATTCCATATATCCCCATATTGAACCCATTGACTGCAAGGAGTTTAATCGCTCCATAGATTCGAGGACAAGCCTGATACTCATACAATGCCCCACATCTGCACATTCCATTGGGTTTGATTTGTTTTGTACACTAATATTACTAAAAATTAGATCAACTCCTTGATCTGCCATTTCTTTCATCTTACATATTTTTATTATTTAATCAAATATCTCATTAGTTTGCATTTTTCCCTTGCCAAAATCTACAAATGAGTGTAAGCAACAAAACCTGGCAATGCCAGACAATCTGGTTGTCATTGTTTGAGCATTGACTCTCCATCAGAATGGAATCAGCATGGACATCTGGGTACGATCTAAAGTTACAAGGGGGGACTCCGATAACCTGATAGCATCTAATCCACAGGAAAGGTAAGGCAGAAGATTATATTTCTTCACTTTCATTCCCACTATTGAGCTTTTCACACTATTGTTAAACAAGAGCCAACCTAACCTTGGGCAAACATAATCCTAGATTGTCTCATTTCATACTGTTCATACATTATCAAGGATTAAGGTGTGGTCATTTTAGTGAAATTTTGTGGGTCCACTATCCATTGTTAATAGTGAAGCAATGCATGAAACACAGTTCATACCAAAGTCACTTTCAAAACAAGTAGGTTTCTGTTGGTCAACATTTTGCGTGACCAACATCAACCTGTTGATGTTTCACCCTCACATGAAATTCTAAATGTGTGGAATCCTACTAAAATGACTTTATTTCACCTACAAAAATTTGGTGTGCAACAATAAATGTGACCGCACCTTCATTCAAGTGTCAGGATTACACACCGGACATCTGTGTTAATGTTCTTATTTGCGTATAAGAGGTCAACATCTTTGATTGGATGAATGCAGATTGCAACAGGCAAGCAATTCGTTTCAATAACAGCTTGTCCATCTGTGAGAATTTCGACATGCAGCAAAAAACAAATAACAAGTCTCTTCTTTATTCAAGTTTGCACTTGCCATCACTGTTTGACATTTTTAATTTCGCCACAGATGTTAAAACTAAACATCGCATGTGAACGTCTCTGTGATCGTACAAAAAACATGAATATTTAATGAGGCAAGAACTTTTTATTTTATGATTAGTTGTCAGTTGCTAAAAAATGTGCTGTAACATTCTCCTAGAACTGAACTTAAGTATTAGAACTGTTACCAGGTTCATAACCAAAGGTTAAAAGTGATGCTAACCTGGTACAAAAAGGAAGTTTTGCTTAATGCAGTGCTAAAAATGGGTTTAAAAAGATGGTAACACAGGGTTAAAGACATGTGCGAGTATTTGCTGTCAACAAACATGTCCCATTCATATTCATACAACAAATTCTACTTAATTAGTAAAGTTTTACTAGTGCATATTATCAGTGTCTCTCATTTCAGTCACAAAATCAAAAGATAGAGATACATGAGGTAGCAATCTGATTCTGGATCCACATAGCCTGTGGTATTAATCAATCTTATACAGAAAGATCTATATACAGTGGCTGAAATGGAACAAAGAAAAGAACACAAGAAAGTATAAAGTTCTACTCTAAAACTCTTTAAAAACAGCTAAACAACTCAATTACAGCTTCACATGTAAGAAGAGTGTACATTCTCTTCCAGCTAATGAGACCTTACTGATAGATAATGTGCTTTTTGAATGCTGTGGACTACCATTAAAGTTTCATTACATGGCATCTCAATTTTAATGCGCTAAATTCCTCTGTGTTGTGAAAACACTATGTGCTCAATCTGTCGTCTCCTCCGATACGCTGTAGAAAATTATCGAGTTGTGCGTCTCGCCATCATTCATAACACATGAGCGCACTGACATCAATTCACGTCTGTAAATGTAACTTCCTGCCTTTTCAAAACAAAGACATTCGTTCAGACCCAAAGCGTATTTTTCTCAAAACAAATCTGTCTCGTGTTTTGACATGCGAAAAGTATCTAGAATGCCGCGAGAGGTGTAAAACATTTACCGCTCATCTTGGTCACACAGTTTGCAGAGCTCTAGATCACTTCTTCCTGTCGTCTGGGAATTCCTGCCACCGATGTTTAATGTGGGGCCATGTAGCTAACGACTGTCACAAGCACACATTCATTCCAGATGTATCACGCCATATCAAAGCCAAGATCCACTAAGCAGCACTGCGGCCTGGGTGACGGGAATACCAATTAGATGCTTTATGGCATCTATAAAAAACAAAAGAAAGAAATCTGAAATCTGAAAACAGCACTCTCAGCCTCTTAAATAGGCCTTTCAGTTTCTACTATGATCTTGTGGGTTCATTTTTGAAGGTAACTGTGAGGGTTTCTCTGCTCAAAGAAAATATTTTCTATGCTTTGTCCATGAAAGTAAAACATTTACCGCTCATCTTGGTCACACAGTTTGCAGAGCTCTAGATCACTTCTTCCTGTCGTCTGGGAATTCCTGCCACCGATGTTTAATGTGGGGCCATGTAGCTAACGACTGTCACAAGCACACATTCATTCCAGATGTATCACGCCATATCAAAGACTAAGCAGACTAAGCAGCACTGCGGCCTGGGTGACGGGAATACCAATTAGATGCTTTATGGCATCTATAAAAAACAAAAGAAAGAAATCTGAAATCTGAAAACAGCACTCTCAGCCTCTTAAATAGGCCTTTCAGCTTCTACTATGACCTTGTGGGTTAATTTTTGAAGGTAACTGTGAGGGTTTCTCTGCTCAAAGAAAATATTTTCTATGCTTTGTCCATGAAAGTGAGATCAGCTCTCCGTATGCTGTCCAAGTGGAAGGTTTTATGGTGGAGGAACACACGTATGTGATGAGTGATAAAGAACGAAGAATTTGTAAAGCTGTGGAAGGGTAAGATTCACTTCACTGACTGACCTGGGCATGCAGTTTCCCTTCTTCCTCACCAGCAATCCACCTGAAATAAGTCAGGGTTTTTTAACTTTTTGTCAAAGAACCCCTAATATTTTATGATCTCCTGACAAGAGACCCGAAAAATATAGGCAGCTATATATATTTTCATGTATAAACCCACATTTTACAGGGTGTGTGAAAAATATATATAAAACCATGTTGTTTACAAAGTTAAATAATCAGCTTTAATATTGTTACTATAGTAAAGCCAAAGCAAATTATTAAAATATTATCTGAAAAAATAAACACTGATTTTATATTAGGTGTGTCTTTTATCTGACCACTATTTAGATGTATAAACCTCTAGAGAAACATTTTCAATTTAACTCAAATTTATTTGTATAAAGCTTTAACAATAAATAGTATTCCAGGGCAGTTTCAGAGTTAAAGGAATAGCTCAGCTCAAAAATAAAAATTTTGTCAGCATTTAGACCTACTCACCCTTATGTCGTTCCAAACCTGTTTTATTTCTTATGTTGAACACAAAAGAAGATATTTTGAAGAATGCTGGTAATCAAACAGTTCATGCTCCCCATTGACTTGCATAGTATTTCATTCCCTACTATGAAAGTCAATGGGGACCAACAACGGTTCGGTTCTTTAAAATTCTTCAAAATATCTTCTTTTTTTCAACGTAAGAAAGAAATTCATATAGGTTTGGAATGACATGAGGGTTTTATATATATTTTATTTTGCAAACAACATGGTTTATATATATACAGTATCTCACAGAAGTGAGTACACCCCTCACCTTTTTGTAAATATTTTATTATATCTTTTCATGTGACAACACATAAAGAAATGACACTTTGCCTCACTTCTGTGAGATACTGTATATATATATATATATATATATATATATATATGTTCACACACCATGTAAAATGCAGGTTTATACATGAAAATATATATATAGATGCCTTTATTTTTTCGGGTCTCTTGTCAGGAGATCATAAAAGGGTGTCTTTAGCCCTATTCGGATGGTAATTGTTTCTCAGGGGGACGTAAGTGATTTTCACCATTTACAGGGGGTAGTTGGTGATTTTAATGCCATCCGAATCCAGGATGTCGGTGTTTTTCTCACACCGCAATATAATTTTAAAATGTGTATTATTATAAACAGATATATACATCGCGTATAATTATATACAACTATAGCGCGTCTATTTTCCTATTTTTAAACAGGAGATTTAAATTATAAAATAATAAATAGGATATTATCAAATTTATATATTATAAAATATGCTTGGAATAATAAGAATACATTTTACATAAGTATTTTTAAATACATTTTACAGAATAATAAGAATACATTTGTAAATACAATTAATTTTATTTACAGCAGACAATCATGTGACTGGCCACGTGAGCAGCGCGTTCCCAGGTTCGTAGGATCACAGAACTCGCTCCTCCACTGTGAATAAATTGCCATCCGAATCCATGAGTTTTATCACTGAGGTGATATGTAAATGTACTTTTACAGACGTCCATATGAGAAACAATTACCGTCCGAATCGGACATTTGAAAAAAGTTTAAAAACCTGATTTATTTCAGGTGGATTGCTGGTGGGGAAGAAGTGAAACTGCATGACCAGGTCAGTCAGTGAAGTGAATCTTACCTAGACATGTGCCGGTATTCGTAATGCGATATATCACATAGGGATGGAACGATTACCGGTTTCACGATAAATCACGATGTGCATGGCGGAGCGCGTGAGAGATGCTTTGAATGAAAGCACATTCACTCTCTGACAGCAGATGGCGCTAAACATAATGCAGCCGTTACCCCGGAAACCCAGTAAACATCATCACAGCGTCAAAAGCTTTTGTAGCAAATGTAGCTATTGCTCATTGTGAATGTTAATGCATTAACTAAGGTTAACTAATGAGATCTTATTGCAAAGTGATACCTATTGGTCTTTATAATTCTTTTGCATTTTAATCTGTGTACATTTTTAACTTAATACATTTTTGTGTATGCTTTATTGTATTTAAATGTTTTGTTATAAGAAAAAAAGTTATTAAACCTATTATACTGTATTATGACTTTTTTTGCAACTAAATTTCAATATCGTGATAATACCGTATACCGAGATAAAATAATTATCAATTAATTGCAACATGAAAATTTGATACCGGCATATCCCTAATCTTACCCTTCCACAACTTTACAAATTCTTCGTTCTTTATCACTCAACACATACGTGTGTTCCTCCACCATAAAACCTTCCACTTGGACAGCATGTGGAGAGCTGATCTCACTTTCATGGACAAAGCATAGCAAATATTTTCTTTGAGCAGAGAAACCCTCACAGTTTTTATGGTGAACTATCCCACTAACTTTGACAGCTCTAAAAAGGCTTTTTTTTAATTTTTTTTTAAATCTCCTAGATCCCTTTTGCAACCAACTGGTTTGAAAACTCCTGCCATTTGGAATGTCACTCAGGCAGGAAATCAGTGCACCACACAAATGCAAAGTGCACAATACAAATGACACGAAAAGTATGACAATTTAATAAGGATAAATATAAATATAACAAACACATATGTGGTAAAATAATGTTTTTTAAATTATTTATTTTAAACCACATTTTATCAATACTTGTACTAAATGAATTATATTTATTATAGTCACCATGTTGGATTAGTTATTCACAATGCAATCCTCTGTGAAGGAAAAGGGCTGGCTTACAACTTGGCCTAAGGAAGGTAGAAAAATTAAGGGGTCTTTCACACTGGGCATGTTTGCTGATTGTTCCTGTCGCCCCCCGCAGTGTCGGTTTGGTTTGACACTCGATTCTTTCAAACCCTGGTGCGTCTGCGTTCATCTTATGTCATCACAAACGAGCACACTGCATTATACAAAACAGAATGCAGGTGAATACATTGTGGTTTTTATTATTAATTTGGTGTTATTATGCGCAGCAAAGTGAACAACACTTGCGTTTACTGTTTGTGTGTCGCATGAAGTATGCAAACACAGCTGATTGTGAGCCATTCATTTGCTACTCTGATTGCACTCACTATACGCAATTACACTGTACGCTCACTCTTGCTCGTATCCAAGGTAAATCATCACCACTGTCATCCCTTACATGTGTTTTACTGAACTAATGACGTTGTCATTGGCCAAAACACATGCACGGGTTACTTTACTACCTGATCAAGTGTGCACCCGAGTCAGAGTTGCTTTCATATTCATGGCACAGTTCCATTGCTACCGAAATCAGACCACCTTCTTCAGTATCAGGTTTGGGGACCCTGTTTCGAACTAAACTGCCAGTGTGAAAGCCCCATAAGTTGGAACTAAAAATTAAGTTGGAACCATTTGGAACAACAATGCTTAAGGGGGAAGCTCTCTAGGTTTTGGAACAGAGATAATGTTGTCACACTTCATTCCCACTATCATGAGCATCCAAAATCTACTAAATGGCAAAAACCCTTATATCAGCCAACATCAAGTTCATCCGCATAAGGAAACATTTAAGTCATTTCAGTGTATGGCTTCACCATATAACCACAACTGGCAGCATGCATGAGTCCTGACCCTCAGCATCTCATGAAATAACGTCTTGTGGGTTGAGAGACATCACCATGACAAACATTTCCAGATCCATGCTTCCAACCAAAATGACACTGGGTAATCAGCATTGACGATTATAATAAATCTAGAGCTTCTAGAGTCATCGTTCTAGAGTCATCGTTATCTTATTCAGTCTTTCTCATATCTCTGTCAGGATGACAATATGACAAACCACAACTCATGTTCATTTTAACTACATGTGATTAGAATTTCCTTGTGGGTCATTTCTTCAACAAAAACTTTTCTGCTGTATTGTTTCACGTGGGATAGCCATAGAAAAAAGATCTTGGTGAATGAATCAAACCATGAAGAATAAAAAGAGCTGTGATTGATGATGCTACCTTTACACAAGTCGTCAGACGTCCCAAACACACTCTATTCATGGGTCTCTGCTGGGAGGCCTGGTTCAGGCCCCCTAATCTTATTGTAAGTCACTCTGTACAGGCCGACACTGAGGAAAGTAGGGATGAAGAGAGAATGAGATGAGACATGATGGATAGAGGCCTGCCCCAGAGATGCAGATGGAGAAACCTTCCCACTGTCTCGTCTCTGTTTCTTTATCATTCCATCAAGTCAGAATGACAACAGAAGCCAACAACGACAACATCTTTCGACTTTTTACAGTTCTTCAGCTTTGAAAATCACAGTCTGATACGCTGCCCTTTGTGCAGAAGTCTGTCAGAGATGGAAAAAGTGACAT